AACCTATGCGTTCAACTTGTAAACACTCTGACTCTGTACTTCTGGCTACGTCGCCCGTGACCTTTTGAACGTAATTACGTATTACGTGACGTTGGAAACGCGCCTCACAGAATAGAGCAAGGCTAGCATTTGTCCTCAGAAAAGTTACATTTTTGGAATAAGTTTTGAAATAACCGATCGTTTCGCATGATAAGACCCTTATTCATCGTCTGGTGTCGTTTAAAGACATTTGAAGCTGCATCTGAAACTGTTATTAACACTATCTTGACCTGAACCATCCGGTTCCCATTGAAGTCCATTATATGGAGAAAAATCCTGGAATGTTTTTATCAAAAACCTAAATTTCTTTTCGACTGAGGAAAGAAAGACATGGACATCTTGGATGACATGGGGGTGAGTAAATTATCAGCAAAGGTTTTTTCAAAAGTGAACTAATCCTTTAAGATGTTCTGCCGTGATTTGATCTGAACCACATGCTCTATTATCAGATAACTGAGAAATTGCTTGATTGTAATTCCCAGTGTGTCTCTTTTGGCAATATTTCCCAGTTCACTATTGACGCTATATTGACACTGTTAAATAAAGCAGAGTAGTGTTGCCTCCACAACTCTGCTATATTATTAGCTCCAGAAACTCCCTCTATAGTGCATGGTAACAGATTATTAACCTTGTTTATAGCTCTTACTTCCTTCCAAAAGTCAGTGGTGTTATTACAAAGTAGTTTTTCAGCCAGAAAGCGAACTTGCTCGTATTTGCAACTATGACGTACTGCATATTTATACCTAACATTAGTCATTTTTTTTTAGGTTCAGTTCAGGCCCCTGTCTAGGTCTACCCACCAAAACCCAAGCTTTAAATGCCTCCTTGGCTTCTGCCCTATGTGCAGAAAAGAAATAAACACAAGTGGTATAATTGGTGGACACGTACTTGTTAAAGGACAAGTTCGGTATTTTACACTTAAAGCCCTGTTTTAAGATCTTTTCTGATGAAATAGAGTGGCTAAGATTGAAATTTGGACACATGCTGTTGGCCCGAGAATTTTCGGTTTGCATAGGTGCACAGGAACAATCGTTCATAAAACGCATTAAACTTTACTTCACAAAGACGTGAAACTCACCGAGTGGCCTGGGCTGTTCACTGATATGCTCACACAAAAATCACTTTCCAACAGGTTTTATCGTAGTTTTGTAGCAAGTCAAGACTTAATAAAACCATATACAGTCCAAAACTTAATGAACCATGTACAGTCACAACACCCCCTTTTATAAATTACGAGAATGCATTCACCAAAAAATCATGGCAAAGAGGGTGGAAAAGGGAAAAAGAAACAGTGAGCCAAGTGGAAGAAAACCACAAAGTGTGATTTGTACATGGGAGAAAATAACGGCTGCTGGTAATTCTGTTGGGTCGGAGGAAAAAAAGAAAGGGTTTGACATCAAAATGGCGGTCACAACTTACAAATGGGAAATAGTTGCTACTGAAGTAGACAAAAAACAGCAAAGTGAGATCAGCCATGACACTAGAGCTACATTTCAATTGACTGCTGTCTTTTATAGCTTTCCACACCAATTATGCAAATGTCTAGCTTGAGCTATGACATTACTAATTGAGTATTTGCATTACATTTGTATTTGAAGGACACACGCGGCAGCACAGTTGTGCTTATATTTACACATTTTCCTATGTGTAAGTTGGTAGATGCTGTAAAACTGTTCTTACACACTCATTACACACATACATCTGTGTGTACGCCATGTTGATTGATGAAGCACCAGGACTTTTACCATTACTGGAGAAAACTGAGTGGGAGATTTATGTCATGTCATCTCTGGATGAAAGGGAGGATCCTGTAAAAACGACTATCTTTAGATAGATAAGTTCTATAAGAAGAACATACCATTATTGGAGGCTTTCTTCTTTAGAAATCAACTGGCAAAAAAGTCAAATCTTATTATTTTTTTATTTATTTTTTTTTAGTATTTTTGTCTTGTTTCCAGTCCAAAAATCTAAAAATTCTTAAATCAAGATGCGTTTACACAGATAAGTAATGGCACAAAAATATACTAATAATCTTGTTTTCTGAAAAATAAAACAAGAAAAATAATCTTAATTCAAATGGAAACAATTTTTGGGATAAATAATCCTGCCTCTCCCATAGCAAATATGACTGGAATTGTTCCTCAGGGGATTTACACTACACTATCTAATGCAATGTAAAAAACAGTATCAGAATTAATTCAGTAAGTCAAGGCTGCTTTCGGGAAATGTCTGAACTTGTTGAAGCTCAACTTTTGTCCTTACTAGGAACCCTATCAAATAAATACTAAAAACAAAGGTTGTCTTTAGCAGTAGATTCCTTCCCTCTGAACGTACAATGTTTGCACTTTCTTTTTTCTGACAGTGCAGGAAACTTCAAAAAATGCCCCTATTTACATGCAAACACACTTCTGAGTGATCAGTTTGTGGAGAATGTTTGTGCAGTAATTGTGCTCTCTGTAGGGAGCTTAAAGGAGTAGTTCACATATAAAAATAAAACTTTTGCTGATAATTTACTCACCCCCGTGTCATCCAAGACGTCCATGTCTTTATTTCTTCAGTCGAAAAAAATGAAGGTTTTTGATGAAAACGTTCCAGGATTTTCTCCATATAATGTACTTCACTGGGAACCAAACGGTTCAATGACGTTCCACGACACCAGAGGATGAATAAGGGTCTTATCTAGGACCCTTCGACTCATGACTCGAGAAAAAAGATTTGTCCATTTTGATGAATGAGTTCGAACTGGAGAGTCACGCAGAACAGAGCAAGGCGAGCATTTGAGCTTATAAAACTTAAACTTTGTTATTTATTTATTAAATGAGCGATCGTTTCGCTTGATAAGACCCTTATTCATCGTCTGGAATCGTTTAACTGTCACCGTCCCACAGGTGGGACGTTTGCCACTATATTTTTAAAACAATAATATCTTAGTAAATACCTTAAATAATATTGACAAACTATATATCATTTGAAAGCTTACAATCTCTAGTTTCCATATTTGGTGACTGATTTTCAAAATATATTACAGAGGAGCCATAATTTATCAATATAAAACAAGAATATTTTCATACTCATAAGGCGTGTTCAGACCTTTATTTTAAAATAGCAGTAAACATGAAAAATCATGAAAAAATGGTAGATACCTCAGTTTGTTTTCATGCCAAAAGTTCAAAAGATAGAATCCATTCAATTATTTTGGAAAAAAAAGGTCTGAAAAGTTTGAAATATCAAGAAAAAAATGTGGCAGGTAGATATGACTTGCATGCGTGTTCTTTGTATGTGTTTCTTAGAGGTTCAATTCAATCAAAATCTGCCAAACTTCCCATGCTACTTCTGAATAGGATCTCTACTTCAGAAATTGTATGAAAATTGTGAAAATAATGGTTCATATCACTCAAAACACGAATGGAAATGCAGACGCCCTTATATGGGCAGTAATGGAGTCTGATTGTGCCCTAGTGAAAAAGTTTGGTACTGCGCTCAAACAAAATCTTACTGAAAGCTCATTTTTTGAGATATCAACCTAAAATTTGAAACACAACTTGAATTACAACCATTTAAGTTCGAAATGTGCATTTTCATGTCTATTCAAAAAAGGGGGGGTGACAGTTAACAGGTTAAAGCCCTTTGAACAGTTTGCACTGAAACTGTCTTTTGGACCGTGAACCGTTTGGTTCCCATTAAAGTCCATTACAGGCAGAAAAATCCTGGAAATCCCTTAATTTCTTTTCGACTGAAGAAAGAAAGACATGGACGTCTTGGATGACGTGGGGGTGAGTAAATTATCAGCAAAAGTTTTTTCAAAAGTGACCGATTTGTATGTAATACATCTGTGCGCAACTTGTTAAATGTTTCTACTGGGGATTTGAGGCAGTATGGGTAAGTAGAGTGCAGTCGTTCTCCTCTAGCATTGGTTAAGTTAAAGGAGATATTAAAGCAGCAACAGAGCCAACCAGATCAGCTTACCCAAAATTGTGCATTATTTCAGGGGAAGCGTAATGGGTCAACTGGTTATTTGTCAGAATCCTGTCTCTTATGCCTTATGCTTTGGGTCCTAATCATCCTCTGGCGCTCTGGTCATCCGGGTCCAACAATCATGCACGAAATCAGCTTTGCATTGAAAGTTCCGTGGGGGATAGGAATGTGTTTGGAGAGTTTTCCGAAAGCCCATGAATCATTTATACAACATGAGTTTAACAGTGTTTGAGATGATGTTTTCCCCGTGGCTCATCTGTTGGCCAGCAGACAAGACGAGTGACTGGGGATGCCGAATATGTGTTTCTATTGTTCAGCAGAATTATTCGTTTCGAAGCCATAATCCGAGCCTTTCCGAATAAGATATTCGGCTTCCGCCACATATTGGGTCAATATGGTGTAATAAGGGGTTTTCAGTGTACTTCCAGCAGCTGTAGGCCGTCGAGGCGTAGCCCAACAAAGTGCTCAAGTGGAGTGCTTTACAGCGATATATACTGTAACACACACAGATGGCTACACAGTAAAAATGAATATGCTTTATCTAATCAATAAAAGTGTGGCAACAGATTACCTGCAATATTATTTATTAAATTGAACAAATTAGAATTGAGTAATGGTTAATCAAATTAACATTCTAATTAATTCTAATTTGTACAATTTAATTAATAATATTGCTTGTAATATGTCACCACAATTTTATTGATTAGATAAAGCATATTATTTTTTTCAGTGTAGAGGGATTCTTGATTCTTTAATTCCTGTCCGCTCAATTACGTTAACTTCAATCCCGCGTGCTTTCCTCATCCTGTCTGACACGACTCGACCGCATCTGTTCGGAATTACGGAGGGAGTCCCAAAGCGTAATATACTTAAAACTAGGGGGAAGTTTAACAAACAGAGGCCAAAGACTATAAAACATGGGAAAAAAATAGGACTCTGATTCAAATCATTCACTTGACTGAATTTTTTTTTGTTTTTCTCTGCAGGGAAGATATTTAAGTCTGTGCCAGGAAAACTAATGAAAGAGGTAAGAATTTGTATTTTATATTCTGCGAATATAAGCACAATGAAATCCAAACAAAATCCTAGTCTTCGTTTGACATTTCTCCAGAAGTATGGTGTCTTTTGTTTACGTGCTTATCTGCCATGCAGACTATAGCTGGATTGAGTCCTGCACAGGACATCTGAAACAACTTTTTTGGCGGACTTTGTACTTGGGTCATGTTATTGCCAAATAGTCATTAGTTACCTTTACATGGACGCTTTTTGTTTCAAACGCACGAAAATCAATGCGATTGATCCGAACGTAGTGATCCGAAGTGATCGGATGATGTGTTTGTTTTTATATCACACGCTTCATTGTGTTCACATTGTGTTTTTATCTTTTGACATGTGCTCACTGCACACATGTGCTGAGTTTCAAACCTTCCTCGTACCATTGCTACTTTTCTGTTTTAAAAAGCAGACTTAAAGGGATAGTTCACTTTGAAATTTATTTTTGATATGTTTTATCTTACCTCAAGGGCATCCAGGATGTAGGTGTCTTTGTTTCCATAGTATTTTCAATTTTGATATTTTTAGGTCAAACCGTTCGTGTCTATCAGTCATATAATGGAGGTCTATGGTCACTAGGGTTGGGTATCGTTTGAATTTGAACGATTCCGATTCCTTGTTTCGATTCCGATTCCTAAAGATTCTCGATTCCGATTCTTTTAAGAGGCAGGGTCAAAAAAGTTTAGCTAACCTTGCTAACCAACGGTCTTTCTGAAGGAAATAATCCTTTCTGAAGGAAATACTCCTTCGGTCACAAATACTCCTTTTGTCTCAAATTTTGCATTTTGCAGAGATTTCGTTATTTTAAGAAAAGTGAAGCCACACTTTGGACCGCCGACGTAAGCTACTCATGTTCGACTCGCGCGGATATGCCAACACTTTTCACTTTTTCCAGGTGTTGCCATCCTGAAGTTCTTAATGTGGGGTGGTGAATGAGTGTTAAACTGACTGTTCTGGAAAGATGTCCAACTTGTCTTTGATGTTACAGTGATATGTGCACTTATCTGTTCTTACTTGCCTATGAAAGCTGTAAATAGCTGAAATATAAGGTAAAGGCTTAAGGTGAGGTTTACAGGTACAGTAGGTTCAAGGTTAGTTCCTAGTTATTACCCAGTTATTACTCTAATTTCTTTATTACTTTATTAGGGCAGGACTGTCTTGTTTGACCTAATGAAAGTCTTGGGACGTTCCAGTAACCTGTTTGACAACAGTCATTATTTGTGTAATTCTGATTGGTGACGCAGAAATTATACACTTTACATAAATTTCTCTTTGTTTTGATATTTAAAATGTCAGATCTACTAGTGCTCGTCTTAATGTGTTAGTTCGGTTACAAATGTGACTGGGAAACAATGAAGTAAATACAATTTCACACACATCTGTCTTCTGATGACCTTTTTTTCACAAAATTTGACAAGCATAGAATGATTTTCATATGACTTCTCTCATCTTTTCTCATTTAATATCTGTTTTCGCTGATTTCTATAGAAAGGGCAAAACCTGGAGCCATTTATCCAGTCTTTCTTCAGTTCGTGTGAATCTCCTAAACCCAAACCCAGCAGGCCTGAGCTCACCATCCTCAGCCCCACTGCAGAAAATAATAAAAAGGTATGCTTGCTAAAACAATTTAAAAAAAAAAGTATTTCCATAACCCCTTATGTATTATTAAGTATTGATTATGTGGATCATTTTCTGGAAAATGTGTTATTTTTGAACAAAAAGTTTCTGAGGAACATTATATTTTTAATGTCGTAAAAGACGCTGTATGAAGCAGGGTTATTGTTGTTTACTAAAGCTAAAATTAAAACTGTTCAATGAAATGAACCTGAAATAAAAGAAAATATCAATTTTAGTTGAAAATATAAATTGAAAATCCTTGGCAATACATTGAAATAAGTTTACGTTGAAACACTAAAATTATTAACGACAAATAAATAAATCTACAACTACCTAACTAAAACTATAACTGAATTAAAAATAAATTAAACCTAAATAGCAATATTTTAAAAATAAACAAATAAAATGACTAAAGCACAAAGAAACTAATTAACATGAAAACTAAAAATATAAACATTTTAAATACTATTATCAAACTATAATAAAACTAAAACATATATTTTTAATTTCAATTTATATATACTCTCACCTAAAGGATTATTAGGAACACCTGCTCAATTTCTCATCAATGCAATTATCTAATCAACCAATCACATGGCAGTGTTTTCAATGCATTTAGGGGTGTGGTCCTGGTCAAGACAATCTCCTGAACTCCAAATTGAATGTAAGAATGGGAAAGAAAGGGGATTTAAGCAATTTTGAGCGTGGCATGGTTGTTGGTGTCTGAGTATTTCACAATCTGCTCAGTTACTGGGATTTTCACACACAACCATTTCTAGGGTTTACAAAGAATGGTGTGAAAAGGGAAAAACATCCAGTATGCGGCAGTCCTGTGGGCGAAAATGCCTTGTTGATGCGAGAGGTCAGAGGTGAATGGGCCGACTGATTCAAGCTGATAGAAGAGCAACTTTGACTGAAATAACCACTCGTTACAACCGAGGTATGAAGCAAAGCATTTGTGAAGAAGACACAACACACACAACCTTGAGGCGGATGGGCTACAACAGCAAAAGACCCCACCGGGTACCACTCATCTCCACTACAAATAGGACAAAGAGGCGACAATTTGCAAGAGCTCACCAAAATTGGACAGTTGAAGACTGGAAAAATGTTGCCTGGTCTGATGAGTCTGGATTTCAGATGGTAGAGTCAGAATTTGGCGTAAAAAGAATGAGAACATGGATCCATCTTGCCTTGTTCCCACTGTGCAGGCTGGTGGTGGCGGTGTAATGGTGTGGGGGATGTTTTCTTGGCACACTTTAGGCCCCTTAGTGCCAATTGGGCATCGTTTAAATGCCACAGCCTACCTGAGCATTGTTTCTGACCATGTCCATCCCTTTATGGCCACCATGTCCCATCCTCTGATGGCTTCTTCAAGCAGGATAATGCACCATGTCACAAAGCTGGAATCATTTCAAATTGGTTTCTTGAACATGTCAATGAGTTGACTGTACTAAAATGGCCGCCACAGTCACCAGATCTCAACCCAATAGAGCATCTTTGGGATGTGGTGGAACGGGAGCTTCGTGTCCTGGATGTTCATCCCACAAATCTCCGTCAACTGCAAGATGCTATCCTATCAATATGGGCCAACATTTCTAAAGAATTCTGTCAGCACCTTGTTGAATCAATGCCATGTAGAATTAAGGCAGTTCTGAAGGCGAAAGGGGGTCAAACTAATAAAAATACTTTTCTGGCTGCTTTATCACATTTAAAAATACATTTAAAACCATTGCAGCACATGTATACTATACACAAATTCTGAACAGCTGCTTAAAAGCCCAGTTTTTCATAATTATATGCCCTTTTAATAGACAATCAATCACTGGAGTTGTGGACCAAGTTTGAAAAGGCTTTTTTACAGCAAGTGTCAATTAAATCTTTATATTACTACAGTAAAATTCTTCATGCAATTTGAAATGGTTATTCTTAGATTTTCATTTATAATATTTGTACTAGCGTTATAATTTGTAAGAACAAAATGTTTTCACTTTTAGATTTATTAATTATTACAAAATAGTGAAATATTACAAATTTGAAATATCTAAAGGTGAAGTTGAAATATTATTTGGGCTAAACCTTGTTTTGTATAGGTCACTGGTACACTTTCAGTGAAAGATTCACTATATAAACTGTATTCTTCAATGAACAAGGAATAGTCTTCTTGGACATCCATTTACTAATCACAAATCATTTAAAATGTGTACATAAAGAAATCAAACTGTCATATTGTCTGTGTATCTTTAATATCATAAATACAATTTCTCCTCATGTCATTTTAGCTGTTCAATGAGGTGTACAAAAACAATGCTAATCTGCCTGAAGGCGTAGAGAGAAAGCACAACCAGAACTACTTCATGGAGCTGATGGAGGTGGATGGTTCATATGACTATATGATGTTCATAGGTGAGTGTATGTAATTCAAACAAACTTGAGTTTATTCATCCAAACGATAAAACTCTTATATTGTGTTAAACATTTTTTTTTATAGCAAATACAGAAGGTATACACATCCTTTGAGTAGTTTGACAACTAATGAAAATTGATTCACCTGTTTGATGTTACCATTATTATAATTCTTTTTAACAAAAACACAAAAGTAACAGTTCATAGTGACCATGTTTGGATCATGAAAGTGTATTAAAAGTAGTCCATATGACTTTCCCAAGTCTCCATGATAGCTTTGTGTGAATAACAGACTCAAGATGGCATTGGTTAATCACATATGTAGACACTAAATGAGACGTGACACTTTTTAAAGGGGTCGTGACCTGAGAAATCAAGTTTGCCTCGATCTTTTGACATACACAAGGTCTTTGTAACATTAAAACAGCCTTCAAGTTTCATAGTTTAAAACGTCCTTCTCATTATAAACAAAGCATTTATTTAACCCTTGTGCTGCATTAGATTTTTAACACCGTTGAGTGCATTAAGGACCAAAAATGGCCACATATTAAACATTGCCTAAAATATTATATATTATTATTATTTTCCACTTTTACCAAGTTAAATCTTTTAACCAGCATCAGTCCTCATCATAACTACCAAAAATGTATTCAATTTCAGGATTTTAACCCTTTAATTACCAGTTTTGTTTGCGAAACCATCGATTTGTATAAGAGGAAAAAACACAAAAATTCAATTATTTTCAATTAAACTAAATGCAAAGAGAAAACTTTAGATTTGGATTATCACAGTCCCACTTTGCAAAAAATCCCACTTAGCGCGTTAGAGACCAAAAATGGCCACCTATTAAACATTGCCTATTGCCTAAAATAAGGTGCATTTCCACCCATAGGGAATAAATATGTAGTGACGTCATCTGGTGGAATACACTATATAATGCAAATATAATGCTTTTGCTTCAAAATGAAAGGATGTTTGTGCAAAAATCATGTTTCATGTATTACTGACAGCCTCAGATTTAAACAACGTTTTAATGGGTTTCAATGGGCCATTTTTGGTCTTTATGGTGCTGAGTGTTACTATTTGATCTACACAGTGTGTGTTATACATATTTTGCAAAATGGGATCACATTTTTTACATGTATCCAAAAAGTCACAATTTTGCCAAATTTCATACCATTTGCATTAAAACAGCCAAAATGGTCAAAGAAATTAAACTGCAAAAGACCAAAAATGTCCCTAATGCAGCATAAGGGTTAATCAAGCTCCAAACACAGCTTGTTTGGATTTTGCGGGATCTGTGATGTCACATGGGAAAACACATTTGCATATGACTGCCTCCTGAGCAAGAAATCGGCGAATAGTGATGCATCATCACACTGTAGGCCCCGCCCACTGGCTTTCAGGCGCTTCACTGTTGATATTTGTCTACACTGGTGTCGTGTCAAAAGCAAATAGAAGCCATTATAATGACTGCCGCTGTCTACACTGATACAGTATACAGATGTGTGTTCAGTTTCTGACATACTCCACATGCTTGAATCTGTCGAGAACTTTCGCTTTGAGGCGTTGTTGTGAAGGGTTAGTTCACCCAAAAATTAAAATTCTGTCTGTATTTCCTCACCCTCATGTTGTTTCAAACCTCTATGTGTTTATTTGTTCTGCTGAACACAAAGGAAGATATTTGGAAGAAAGTTTTAATCAAACAGATCTCATTCCCCATTGACTAGTCAATGGGGAATGAGATCTATTTGGAAGAAAGTTTTAATCAAACAGATCTCAGTCCCCATTGACTAGTCAATGGGGAATGAGATCTGTTTGATTAAAACATTCTTCCAAATATCTTCCTTTGTGTTCAGCAGAACAAATAAACACATAGAGGTTTGGAACAACATGAGAGTGAGGAAATACTGATAGAATTTTCATTTTTGGGTGAACTAACTAACCTTTTAAACAGCTCGTCTCTTGTACAGACTCGGCATTAAAGGAGCCTTCCCTTAAAAATGGATCCTTTCAGAAAGAGGGTTGAAAATATTATTTTGCGCATCACTTTATTAACATTATAAGTGAACTTCAAGAAACATTAAAATAATAATAAAAAATCTATGTCATGACCACTTTAATTCTTTAAGCAAAGTTATTTTATTTTTGTAATCACCAGTATTATGCAGGTGTTAATGGATAATTTCATTCTGCTGTTTTTTTTTTTCACAGGTCGTGTGGTGTTTCGCATGCCTGATTGGCTGCATCACTTTCTGAGTGGATGTCGTATTCTCTTGAAGAGGACTCTAGAGGCGTTCGTAGAGCATTATTTACAGTCCAAATTAGACCAGCTCATGCAAGAGCATCGCCTCGTCTCCCTCATCACTCTGTTGCGAGGTTTGTATGCTTAAGTCCACCTTTATTTCTTCAAGTTGTAGAAGAAATATCTAAAACCTACAAAACAAATATCGCCTAAACGTGTCACGGACAACATTAAACCACAACCCGAACCGACCGACTGAGTGGCATTAGTTAGTTCCTTGAGGCACACCATCAATACCTGACCCATGCATTTCACTTAACTTTCAACATCCACTTTCTAACTTCCCTTTGCACTTCCCCTCGGGGGAATTACATAAAAGTAATATGAAAACATCTGTGTTTTCCTGAAGCTCAAATTGTAGAGCATGGCAAAATCATGGGCTTGATTCCCAGCAAACTGAACATTCATTACATATAATGATCAAAATTTACACCTTCAAAGTTTCATCGGATAAAAGCATCTGCCAAATGCATTTATGTCAATTCCCTAAGTGAAATACTGACATAGCAAATTACATCAAAAATATTTGCACTTTGCATGGATGCTCATGACCCCAAATGAGTAGAATATATAAAGGAAAAATATAAAGAAAAACATCATGGGTTACCAGTAATTCCCAGAAATCAAAAGGGATCAAATTTGGCCGACAACATAATATATATCCATATCCCACAATGCAATTCGACTCTGACATCACAGCAGATTGTGCTTGTGTAAGTTATCACCAACAACTCAAGCATACATATAGGCCTTCAGGATGGCGCATAAAACAAAAGGTTATTAATAAATCAGTCATTTATTATGACTTATCACAGTCAATTAAGTAGAAAGTCATTACACAACTTAGTGAGGTAAGGGCTCATCATTTGAAGTGGAAGGTAGTGCTGTCTCTACAAACAAACCACTGATAAGGTTAATCAAGTGTGTTTTATTGGGAATAAGGAATGTCCAGTGTTGGTGTACCTCCACAAGCAGTTAGACATTGTGCTGTACTGTGGATCATGGGTAGATTTGTGTGCTTCAACTGATCAATTTATCAATACTGCAGATGCCGTTTTCTGTGAGAGCACAGAGGAACGCTCTCCTGAGGAAAAGCAGAGACGAGCCAAGAAGACCTTTGAGGAGATGATGAAATACCTACCAGGTACCTCATAGTACCTCGCAGTTATCTTTTGTTTGTGACATGCCGTGTTTAAAAAAAAAAAAAGCCTATTATTCTTTTTGTTTTTTTACATGTTCATATTTGGAGATTTGAAAATTAAAGGTATAGCGGAGGATTTTCTTTTTCCGGGTGGGTAGTCTATACTATTGGTCCACCTAAGTGTCAATCATTCTGGTGATATGTTTACGTAAGGCCGTCGTAGGCTACGTGCTCATCCCTATGTAGTTTTCACTTTCATGTGTATTATGTCGGAGTTACGGTTTCAGCCATTCCTTTGAAAATGGCTGAGGGTCGAAAGAGAAAAAATGTTAACTAAGTGTATGATAAGAAGAGAAAGGCCACAGAATATAGAAACAAGACCAGAGAGATTTTGGGTGAATATCACATGCTGGCGTGCGCTAAAAGCACAGGTTGGGCTTCTCACTGATGCTGCAGTCGCGAAGATTCTACCAGACAGGTAAAGTTTGTCACGCTATTTGGAGAAATCCATTTAAAATCACTAGTAAAAGTTAATGCAAACTACAATGCTAGCCCTGGCACGAGTCATGCACCGCATAGACACGGTAAACATCTCAATTTGTCTAAAGTAGCCTTTTGTCCAAAATGGTAAATGGTATCACGCTGAAATATTCTAAAATCTTGTGTGTTTATTATTACACAAATGCAACAAGCTACTTCTCCATATGCAACTATGTATAAAAATAACGTATTAACAATGGGAGATATTATGTAACGTAATTGCGATTTGCAAAATAGTTTCCTCAGAACGTATTTCGTGTGATACAGGGTTGCACATATCATGTCTTGAGTCCTCGGTCACTCAATCGATCAGTATAATAAGTAAATAAAACACGGAAGGGCATTTGACATGTTGTCTTTTTTATGAATGTTTTTTTAGTTAGTTTAGAATTTGCAACATAATTGTGCAAGGCGTATAGACGTTCCCTAGCTCTCGGGAGCAAGAGTGTTGTGTTTGTGCATGTGCATTTTTTTTTTTAAATTGGAGAGGGCGGGTCTTCTCTAAAATTCGGAAAGATCCTCCGCTATACCTTTAAGCTTTTCCCCGTTATGGTTGAATCACGGAAGCTACACCAGTTACTTTGCCAAGAGATCTCTATGTTTCTGCTGCTGCTTCATTAGACACAGTAGTCCAGCGCGGCAGATACACATGATCATACTGTAAATAAGACAACATCTATATTGCAAACCCCTCCATGTTGCGGTTGTTCTTTTTCCACGTATCCATACCATCATAACGTCATTGCCATAGAAACCAATGTAGATGTTCCGGAAACGAAAGAGCGGCACGGGACACACAAATGTGATCTGAACAATTGAGACACAGTCCGTACAACAATCATTTTAGATCAGATTCCGGTCGGATACATAAATAATCAGATTTGGTCTGACAGTGTAAAACGTAGCCTTAGTAGTGTGCTGTAACTCGCTGTTATGGTAAGGGGTGTGACATTTCTGTTACACGCTCGAAGCAACAACCAATCACAACACACTGATCCAACTGACCAATCAGAGCACATTGTGCTTTTCAGAAGGAGGGGCTTCGAAGAGCTAAACAGGGTTGTGTTTCCCGTACAACAATGTAACTCACTGATTAGTACGATGCGTCGTTGGACACCAACTAGTCACATTTGAGTCTTTTTTGCACATTTTAATTTTTTTTTTTTTAAATGTGTGTATATATATATATATAGAATGTATATATTTAAATAAAAAGAAAGAAATGAATGTTAGCTTGCTATTGTGCCCAGAGCACAATCTCTTTAAGGCCATACCATTTAAAAAGAAACTATGCTTCTAAGCTCGAGTTGTACTTCCAACCATGTAAGTTTGCGATGCTGTTTGCAAATGTTCATTGGACTTATAGTTTCGGAAAATGTCAAATCGTTCAACTATAGCCACCGAATTTAGTTAACCGAAAAGTTACATTTTTGTATATATATAACTCCAGAATAAAAATTGAAATGTGTTTGAAATGAAAAAATGAAAAATTGAAATGTGAGGCTACAGAATGGGAGGGGAAAAAATGCTTTTTTTTTAATCACTAAACTACTGTCATAAAAAGTTACATTTTTGTATACATAACTCCAGAATAAAAATTGAAATGTATTTGGACTGCTGTGTGGAGTCAACCAATCAAAATGCGGCATGAACTTAACCAATCAGTGCCCAAGTCCCACCCCCAAAAGTTCCTGAACTTTGAAAAAGAACTACCTTGCAAGCAGGGACTCTCAGAGGGGGATTTTTTTTTTTTAACCCATAAGAGCCCGATGTGACGTGGGTGTCACAAACACTGGTGATCATCTGAAAAGGTTTTTTTAAAGCATTGTTCCTCAATTTCAACCCAGGAAGTCCCTAAGGAACATTTAAGGAACACCCAGGTTCAGTCATGTGACAATGTGTGCATTTTTGTTGCCATGGTAACATTTCCAAAATGGTGGCCTGTTTGGTGTGCACATGTTGCAGTGTCAGCAATTTTTATAAACACTTGTTTTTGTTATTAAAGGTATGTTTCAACCCATGCAACAATTCTAATGTTTTAATAACATATCCTTGATTACACTTGACCTGATTTTAAAACATGTCTTGTACAAATTGATATAAAACAAGTTTTGTAAATGTTGTTGTGACTAGGGTTGCCACCCGTCCCTTAAAATACGGAATCGTCCCGTATTTGTGAAGTAAACAGCGCGTCCCGTTTTGAATCAATACGGGACGCGGTTTGTCCCGTATTTCCGAACGCATGATCCCATGCAAATTATGCCACCCGCATTCTGTGAAGACTCGTCCTATTCTACCCTTGATTGGGTAATACTCGCTGTCATTGTTGGTTTGATTGGTTTGTTTAATATACCATCAGGTTCAGGGCCAATCAGAGTCAGAAGAGGGCGGGTCTTGATGCGTCCACCTCTGAAACGAAGTGTGTGCAAAAGTACCGACGAGAGAGGAAACAAATACTTGGCTGGAAAGTGTCAGTGGCAATGAGTAGCCTAAATAAGTTATCATTAGAAATAAGAGAGATATATATTTAATACATATTTAATAATAAAAATGTGCATGTTGTGGAGAAATTAAAAACCTAGAGAATGTCATCCTTTAATAGGCTACTAGAATTAATAATATGTCTGAATACATAAATAAATACATAAATAGATTTTCTTACCAATAATACAAATAGTCATATCAACAGACATAATTTTACATAGACCCACACATAGATGAATAAACAAATAAGGATTTTATAGTAGCCTATAGATAATAGGCTACTAATAGTAATTATAATAAAATCAATTTCACAAGAAAAAGGTAGAGTAGTTAATTTGCGCATGAATGCATTCTAGTGTCTTTTTTTTCCATGGTGACGAGTCTAGAGAACATGCGGTATAGGCCTATTGTTTTTTGTTGTTGTTTTTTCTTTGAAAAATAAATATATAACATTAATACTATTCCATACATTTGTCAAAGCTTGGTAGACAGCTATTATATTTGTTAATGTTATTAAACAGATTAATAAATACATTATAATTGGTATTATTAAATATTAATCATATATGCATACTAAATTATGGTCATATCTGTAATACACACTTAATGGCAATTAAAAGAAAGTTTTAAAAGTGCTACATTATTTAAATAAAAAATAGACAAACAATTACATAACAATTTCAAAATGAAATTCAAAATCAATGTGAGTAAATAAAAACAATAAAAATATCCCATCCATGCAGAATTGTCAAAAACATGATTACTGGTTCATATATATATATATATACAGTATATATACAGTATATATATATATATATATATATATATATATATATAGTAAATAAGTAAAATAATAATATAAAATGTTTTCTGTTGCAAGCTCACATGTTTTCTCTTGGTTTATTGTTGAGCTGTCAAGTTGTCATGTTGAAATAACCAGTTCCATACCCTTGACACATTTTTTAAAATTAATTTAATTATTTATTTATCTCGCGTATGGGTGTCCCTTATTTTGCCTCACTGAAGGTGGCAACCCTAGTTGTGACATATGTGTCACATCGGGCTTTTAACAGTAAAACAGTAGGTGGAATTTTGATGTGACGTATGTGTCACATTAAGAAAAATGGTAATGACCTACTCAAATAATTTAGCTGATTCAATTATTTTTGTGTTATATATATATTCTGCTGCTCAATTAAAAACATATTTAAACGTATGTAAACCAACAAAAAGTCAAATTAAAATTATAACATTGCTAAAGGGTAACTAACCCCATGATCATAGCCTGACTCCACCCACTGGCAATATTTGAAAAATGCTGGAATAGTGGGCGGAGGCCAGCGGGGGGGTTGGGGGTTGGGGCGTGCACCTTAAACACATATCTCTGTAGGCTGGGGTGTGGTTAGCTTGTGCCTGCTTACGTCACATCACAACTTCCAATAGGAAAATACAACTGCAGTAGCCACCGTTCAACCTGAAGAGGGCAGCACTCAGATATTTTTACACCATATATTGTAGAATTAAAACACTTTATACCCAAATGTCCAAAAAATTCAATGAACAGCAAAAATAAAGCCCAGTCTTACAGATCATTTACTAAAAAAAGTTGGTTTAGGGTTTACCCTTTAATATAATGTATTTTGAAAATATTTTGCATACACTTGTAACTAAAACAGGTATGCAACATATGGTATAAAACACCATATTTATTTTTATTCAGTTTGAACATTTTCGAGTTTTGAAAAAATAATCAAAAAATGTGTTTCTGGTTAAACCGTATACCTGAAAAGGTAGAATTTTGCAATGTTATTGCACTACATGCATGTTCAACATGTTGACCTCCAGTGTGAGGTAGTTATTTATTTTTATTCAGTCTGCACATTTTCGAGTTGTGAAATAATAATCTAAAAAATTATTTCTGATTAAACCATATACCTGAAAAGGTCACAGTTATGTGGTTTTGAAATATGTGGTAAAGCAAATAAAATGCAAAAACTATTACTTCTGAAAAAGTTTTGTTTTTGTTTTATTTATCTTCCCAGAAAAGTTATTATTTTAAAAATGTTGTGGAAAAGAAAATAAACAAAAAAAAAATGTATTTAGCAAGAAAACTGAAAAAATATAATTTTTTTCCAAATGAGACATAAAAACCCAATGTGTCATATATGTCACATAAAAAAAGTAGCATAAACGCCCAATGTGACATATATGACACATTACAGATCTTTGACAAGGAGTGGTTGTATTTAAAAAACAACAGCAGAAACATGTTTTAAGTGGTCCATTTAGTATGTTTTATATGCCCCATAATTTTCCTAAAAGGGGAAATTGGTCCGGGTTCTTATAGGACTTCATTTAGACACTGGTTCCTGTTGTGGAAACACACCGAGTCCCACCCAAAGTTCCTATTTCCTTGGGAAAGTTCCTTCGGCTTATGTTGATAGTTGGCTAATGGTGCTTTTGGGAAACGTTTCTGACAGACTGTGAAGAAATATATTCAAAACAATGTATTTTTGAACATTCAAGCGTGAAAACCTATTCTAGTAGAGCCCAAAAACAACCAAAAGCTAGAGCTGCATGTCGAGATTTAAGGTTGTGTGTTGTCAGTTAAAGGTTTATTTGTACCAGTAATAAATACAAACAAAAAAATCTAGTTTAGTTAAGAGAGTCAACATTTAAAAGGGAGCAGAAAACATATCTCTGCAAATATTACTATGGATTAATCAGCATATAATTTAATTTGACTAACTGGTGTGCGCCTTTTCTCAGATCTAGTCGGGAAATGCATCAGTGAGGAGGCAAAGTATGAGGGCGTCAAGATGCTGTTCAATGCCATTCAGCAGCCACTGCTAAACAAACAGGTGCGAACCATCTAACGTACCGATGTCATTTCCTCAAATGCTCCCGCTTTCTACTAATCGTGGCGTTTCTCTCTCCTCTGGTTTGCGGACAGATGACGTATGTGCTGCTTGACATCGCTCTCCAGGAGTTATTCCCAGAGCTCAGTAAGGTAACGCTCTTCTGAACCGTAGTCACGCTCTGACACGGAGCGGCTCGTGATGTTTATTAATGGAGCTTCTGATGTTTTGTGTTTTGTAGAATCAGAAGCCAGGTCTCTCCGTCTCCACTAGATGGATGTAAAACATCATAAGGCATTTTATTGCACTACTAAAACACAATTATTTATTGACTTGTGTGACTATTTTATTGTATCATTGGATCCCTGCCTTATTTTTCCATTCTTGTTTAAATTGTAACAACATCAGGAGTTTGAATCAACATCTTTGTGACCATTTTACATTCTAGACAGTCCGTTAAGACAAAATACAGAAACAAGTGAAAAAAAATATAACTGATACATTTCATATAGTGTCAGTTAAGAGCTGTGTGTGAAATAAAAGTCCTGTGGGGAAAGGGGTTTTGTAAATGCTCTTTGCTCTCTATATTAAAATGTAATATATCCAACTCTTTTGTCCCTGGTCATATGTATTAGAATAAATGAATTAATTTGTTTTAAATATATATGTTCTACTGCTTTATAGGAACAAGAATAGCAACTCTAAGAAAAGAGAGTGGTGATTTATTGCCAGACAAAGAAGAAATCACAGATCAGCATCTATAATCTTGACAAGTTGTGCTAATTAATTGTAATTATATATACATTAAACCTCTACCCAAGAAGAATCTCTTGAAAATATGTACAGGTCATCATCGTTATACGGTATATGTTATAAGAGTACAGAAACTCTGGATCAAAACATTGGCAAAAAAAGAAGCAGAAACAAACGATTAAACCATCTTATGCACGTTGTAGTCTTTAGAAAACAAATGTGATCCCAGCTTTTTGCTCAAAAAGTAATATTTTTTTTTATGAAACTTACCCATATACAAGTCCTGATTAAAAAAAACAAAAAAAAACAACATTTGGGTAGGCCCAAAAATGTATTACTGATATACAAAACAATAAAAATCATCCGGCTAAGAAAGTCTGCATGAATTAAATCATACTACCATTATGTAGTCTTATTTTCACATTGTAATAATGAGAATTTGAATGAGTGATAAATATCTATAAATATCATCACAGAAATAGCTTAATGGACTTTAAAAATGTATTTTTATGCAAAAAAATCATTGTGGGTTGATAAATGACCTGTACATTTCTTGTGGGATTCCTCATAGTAGTAAATGCCTGAATAGAAGATCTCCGTATTGCTCTAATGACAACTCGTGCAACAAGACGAGTGGCGGTCCTGATCACAGTGTTAATGGTCAGTTCATCTGAACTGTTTACTTCTATGAAGGCAACTAATCTTTGGATTAAAAGTTTCTTGTTTTCCTCTGACGCTACATGTTGTTACTCAAGTACATTGAAAGCAATCTGACTGGCTAAACAATCATGACCCAGAGAGCCCACACCAGCAGAATGATGGGCATGTATCCTCGATGTCCAATGCAAGAGCTGGAAAACTGAATACGTCCTTCCACAACTGGATGAACTCTCTTCCTCTCTGAGATGTAGCTGGCAACAACTGAGATATCCATGTCGCCTGTGGAACACAGTACACACTAAATATATGATCAAATATGCAGTTAAATCTGCATATATTTAAGGTTAACCATGCAATAAACGATTTTAATGTACGACCTGAAGGCAAAGTGGATTAAAATCATTTATTACACGGCTCTGTGGAATACTTTTGATTGGTCAACCTCGCCATCCAGCGGTGTGTTATTCTTAGATAACAATCGCTGAAAACTGAAACACAGGCTCATCCGAGTCACTGAAGTCAGCAGCGCTTTACGCTTGCTAGAAACGTTTTTTCTTCGTGGAAGTTTTGTGAGCTGATAAAATATTAAAACTCAATATTTTGTGTACAGCTATTTATTGTGGACTCGCTCTCTTGTTTCATATAAGCACAGCTGCCGCCATTTTGTGACCAATGTTTTGTACATTATTGGGTTATAAAATACAAACAGGTACGATTTTAAAGGACAACTCCGACGCAAAATGAACCTTTGGTCTAATTACACATTGTTACCTGGTCAACCGTTATCTGAGATTTGTTTTCATGATTGCCGAATGTAAATAGTTTTATCTCTAAAAACAGTTTAGCCTATAACGCTAGTATAACGCTAGTATATGGGGCATAGAGTAATGACAAATAAAAATCGCTTGTTATGACCACTAACAAGGCTCAAAATAGCCCCACACCAACACGACAGCATAATAAGGGTCCCTACATTCAAACCGAAGCATTGAGAACTTTGTCAGTGTCCATACAGTTTAATAAGAAGATATTTTATACACACAGTCAACTTCGCGAATACAGGAAGAAGCCATCTTGGAAAAACCCTATCAGTCGATCTACGAGCACCGATCCAAGTGCGCTGAACTGTGCAGAATCTCATATGGTCCGTTGTTTCCGGAAGAAACACAAACCGTTTACTTCCCTTCAATATGTACACGTAGACTACTGTTCGCGCTCACCTTATCACCTTATTCACATCTCACCAGCGCACTTGGATCGGCGTTCGTAGATCGACTGGTGGAGACTATTTTTCCAAGATGGCTTCTTCCTGTATTCGCGAAGTTGACTGTGTGTATAAAATATCTGCTTATTAAACTGTATGGACACTGACAAAGTTCTCAATGCTTCGGTTTGAATGTAGGGACCCTTATTATGCTGTCGTGTTAGTGTGGGGCTATTTTGAGCCTTGTTAGTGGTAATAACAAGCGATTTTTATTTGTCATTACTCTATGCCCTATATACTAGCATTATACTAGCGTTATAGGCTAAACTGTTTTTAGAGATAAAACTATTTACATTCGGCAATCATGAAAACAAATCTCAGATAACGGTTGACTGCCCCGCCCACCGATTCGCGCATTACACGCATAGCTAAATAACATAGATGCCTACCTTGAGCGTGACTACCTTGTTTTGTAAACAAGACTGAATTTGCAGGCCGATTAAGTGTAAAGAACGGTGCTGTGCCGACTATATTGGATCTGACAGGAATGGTGCAACACACGGACTCTGGGTCGAACGTATGGGCGAATCATTCCGGTTGCCATTTTACAACATTGGACGTTTTCAAAACAATTTCCCCCAAGTGCATCGACGGGTGAGTTGAAACTCATTATAATATGCAAACCTGTTATCCACTCACAGCAGTGGGCGTTTCCTTCTAAGTCTTCAGCCCATAAAAACCCAGCGTTTTCCAGCTAGGCTCAAAAGTAGGGTAGAAAATAGCCTATTACTTAATCATTTTGATGGTTTTGAATGCAAAAACCAAGCGAACGCCATAAGTTGACCTCCGACAACAATATAATCAAATTTAAAAAGCCAGTTCATGAGCCCTCTAAAGCTGTTGTTGATGTTTGCAGCGCAACATTTGACCGGAAGGGTAAAAATTGGCGTTTATTTTCTTCAATTACGGCTAGTTAGATCTAGCATTCTGTCCGCTTCGAATCAGACACAGAGATAGAGTAGTGCGTAAGATTAAGTCAAGTCACATTTATTTATATAGCGCTTTTTAAAATACAGATTGTTTCAAAGCAACTTTACAGTGATTACAGGAAAATAATGCAACACAGTTTGTTTCTAGAAGAAAATAGTGTCACAGGCTGTGATGATGAACCAGGTCAAGGACATCATCACTACTAGTGTGCCAACCTGGTGCTATTTTGATGAATGGACAATGTCAACATTGAGTGTTTAAGGTGTAAATGTTTCAAATGATAACCGAGTCAACTATTTCTTTATTGATAGACATTTGCATATTATAGTACATGTTAGAGCAACCTGTCTGAGCCAGTGTTTTGGACTTGGGGTTCTGGTAATGCGCATAGCCAGAACATACCATGTTCCAATATGGAGGGAGACATGAGTGCTGTGTGAGGTGTTAAATGTTTGAGTTTGTCCTTTGTATGTTATGCATGTTTGTATTATGATTTATCGATTTATGTTTGTAGTATGATCAATGAGTTTGTGAACATTAGTTGTAGTTGCTGTGAAATTCAATGAGGGTCATGGGGAAAGGTTCCACCCCGTGACAATGGTACGGCCCACTAGTGTTTGGCGGGAAACTTGAGTATTTAAACCATCGTTTGATCTTGTTTGAGGAGGTTGCCTCCTGTGAGTACTGTGCAAAAAGTTTTTGTGGAAGTTCGGTGGATGTGCCACTGGGCATTGTTTAGTGCCAGTTTTTGCTGCTCACAGCATTTTTCTTTTTGTTTTAGCACCAGTATATGTTACATTAAGTTTTTTATAGTTTTTTTTTTTTGTTTTGTTTCTTTGTTTTTCTTTTACTGCATGTGGACTGCACTGTGTGAGCTCCTGCTGCTGAAAATAAATCACCACTGGCATGTTGAAAAATCCATTACACTGTACTGAGTCTTTCTAACTTCTCTCTGGCCTATCGACTACACGACTACGTGACACAGTCCCGCTTAAGTAAGTTCAGTGATGGTTCATTTTTGTTGTAAAGTTATTAATTTAGTTCATAAATATATATATATATACTGTATATCCACTCTGGAGTAAACCGTGATGTCATCGTCCAGGTCAGTTCAGTTCTCATATAAGGGTGTCAATACAGGCCGATCAATATTATTGTTGAATATTAAAATAAATGTTAAATTTAATGTCCCCAACTAACCAAGCCACAAAGCTGAAAAAGGCAACAAAGGGAAGGAATCAAAACTCCATCAGTGACAGAATGGAGAAAAAAACCTTGTGAGAAACCAGACTTAGTCTCAGTTCTCCTCTGGCCAACGAGCGAACACTTCTCAACAGAGAGAGAGCGAGAGATTCGTACCTGCATCTGTTTAGCATCTCACGAAGCTGTGAGTTTAATTACTTCAAAACCAGCGGTGTAACTAGGGTTGGGTATCGAGAATCGAGTATCGATTGGAACCGAGACTAACTTTTCGTTTTTCCCGGAATCGTTCAAAAGTTAAAATTTCGATTCCTAGTTTCGATATTCACAGTCCGCCGAGCGGAAGAAGAAACCGCTGAACAACACCAACGAAGAAGCGTCTACCGGAAGTGTTGGCATAACCACGCGAGTCGAACATGAGTAGCTTACGTCGGCGGTCCAAAGTGTGGCTTCACTTTTCTAAAAATTAACGAAATCTCGGCAAAATGCACAATTTGTGACAAAAGGAGTATTTTTACAGAAGGAAAATTTCCTTCATAAAGGATTTTTTCCTTCAGAAAGAGCGTTGGTTAGCAAGGTTAGCTAAACTTTTTTGACCCTGCCTCTTAAAAGAATCGGAATCGAGAATCGTTAGGAACCGGAATTGAAACAAGGAATCGGAATCGGAATCAGAATCGTTCAAATTCAAACGATACCCAACCCTAGGTGTAACCACCCATTAGGTAAGGGAAATGTCCATCCAGTCGGTTGTCACCCCAGACAGGGTGATCAGGACTTGATCGGGTCTTCCATCAGCCTGAAGGGGTTTATTCTGAGAAAACAACCGGCTAGATGGACATTATTACTAAAAGTCACGGGACAGCATTGATAAGTTTCTGTGAATGTTTGTGTATGTGCAGTGTGTGAGTGACGCACGTGTGTGCTTCAATGAAAACAGCACATTAATATAGAATGGTGACCACCTGTGCATTAGCCAATCAGAATCGAGTATTCAGACAGACCATGGTATAAGCGAGGACTTACCACTGTCATGTTTGAGTTTCTGCTCTTTGATCATGGAGTATCCATCTCCTCCGTCCACTAGGTAAGAGGGCAGCACCACTTTATACACCTTCTTGGGGTCGAGCGGCTCATAACGGGGCACTCGGCACTCGGTGCAGAGCACATTCACGCTTTTAACACGGTTTCCAGGCAGTTTTGATAAATCATACACCAGCTGAAAACCTGCGGAGGAATTATAAACGGTTATAGTGCTTCATCTGAATTAACGCACGAGTCATATGGACTAGATTTGTGGTGTTTTATGTCATTTTGAGGGTATTCCAGTGCTCAGATTTGAACAATACCTGACACCTGTAGGAATTCTCCAGTGCTTCCTCCATATCTGTGAACTGAGTGCTCAAAGACCTGTCGCAGAGTCGATCCATTCATTTGGACCAGGTCAAAAGTGCCTCCAAACGGCAACACCGCGATCAGATCCTCCATGGTGATCGAACCTTCAATCGAAACAAGCGTTAGGACTGTTTCAGTAGTATTTCTTACTTGCACTGGAGATTTCGAATAACCATACCATTTCTGTTTCGCTCATCAATAGCTGATCGAATGCCTCCACCGTTCAGAATACAAGAGCTGACGTGGTTCCACTGGGTTTCATCAGCATGTTTAATATTAGTGTGGACCTGAAATACAAGCAAAGAGAGTAATCATATGGGTGTAAGGGCAAGATTAACAGCAAATCCATCGCTTTGTTTTACCTTCAATAAAATATCAGCTCTGTTTAAGGATGAAAGCACTCTAAATTACCATTTACTTTGAATTTCTATTTTCCCTTTCCCGTTCAAATTTACCTTTGAGGCCTCTGTTTGTGGTTTTAGAGATGGGGTTTTTGGTTTTAAGAGCTTTTTTTAAAAAACATTTTGTATTTAACTGTTTCAGGTACAAAGATTGTTTCCAGTGATCTAATCACAGGTGGTCAGACTAGACAAATGTTAATACCAGGTGCAAACACGCTTACATTCAAAAAAACCACATGGTTTGTCACTGCAGCAGTGCATATTGAAGAATGTGTGTGAAGTTTCAGCAAGTCTGGCGTTTCAGGTTTTTACGTTCTTCTATTTTCAAGCTGCATGTTACTGGCAGGGTTCTTGTTCAGCTCAGTGGTTGGCTGATTAGCGTAGTGTTTCCCAACCAACGCGTTCTCATCCATCCTCCTAGAGCGTCATATAGTGACACTTTTGAAATTTCGTCTAAATCCGACACTCATTGCACCCTTTAGCGTCAATATAACACGCACCTATGTTCGGTTATAGGTCTGGGGTAGGTTTAGGGTTATATAAGGCAGATATGTAAGGTACAACTAGGACCATATATATCTGCGTCTCATATTGACGCTAAAGGGTGCCATGCATAGATATCTATATAAAGGCTAGATATCTCATCCACGCTGCTGGCCAATGGAGGTCGACGTCAGCACCTGGCGGCCATCTTGTCACAGGCAGCTCGCTCACTGGTAACATTGTTTTAATGGTGCATGTACTGTTTAAATCCCCGTAACTTGCTCAATTTTCTACCGATTTTCAAACGGTCTGGTTTGTTATAAACGGCAGAGATGTAGTTGTGATGCTGCATACTTATGATTTAATAAGTGTATAAATAAATAATCATCCAGAATTACAGCCATGTTAAAGGATTAGTTCACTTTTGAAAAAACTTTTGCTGATAATTTACTCACCCCCATGTCATCCAAGATGTCCATATCTTTCTTTCCTCAGTCGAAAAGAAATTTAGGTTTTTGATGAAAACATTCCAGGATTTTTCTCCATATAATGGACTTACATGGGAACCGGATGGTTCAAGGTCCAAAAGACAGTTAATAACAGTTTCAGATGCAGCTTCAAATGTCTTTAAACGATATCAGACGATGAATAAGGGTCTTATCATGCGAAACGATCGGTTATTTCAAAACTTATTCCAAAAATGTAACTTTTCTAAGGACAAATGCTAGCCTAGCTCTAATCTGTGAGGCGCGTTTCCCAGATAGCAAACTGACATTGAATCAACGTGGAAATATGACATCGAAACAACGTTGATCTGACATTGTTTTGCTCATCGAATTAACGTTGAACCAACGTCAGACGCGTCATTCTTTCAAAACTAACGGAAAATCAACTTAAAATCAACGTGTTGTTTCAACGTTATGAAAGCAAACCAATTTTCGATTTTCATTTAGCTTTGAAGAATGCCGCGTCTGACGTTGGTTCAACGTTAATTCGATGAGCAAATCAACGTTGTTTCAATGTCATGAGAGACGTCGTTTCCACGTTGATTCAATGTCAGTTTGCTGTCTGGGTTGTAACGTCACGTAATACGTAATTACGTTCAAAAGGTCACGGGCGACGTAGCCGGAAGTACAGAGTCAAAATCGTCCGACATCGTTGTTTTACCTTTTAATTCCTTTTTTGTAAACGGCGTTTGAGTTAGTTTTCACGTTCAACCTATGCGTTCAACTTGTAAACACTCTGACTCTGTACTTCTGGCTACGTTGCCCGTGACCTTTTGAACGTAATTACGTACTACGTGACGTTGCAAACGCGCCTCACAGAATGGAGAAAGGCTAGCATTTGTCCTTAGAAAAGTTACATTTTTGGAATAAGCTTTGAAATACCCGATCGTTTCGCATGATAAGACCCTTATTCATCGTCTGGTGTCGTTTAAAGACATTTGAAGCTGCAACTGAAACTGTTATTAACACTATCTTTTGGACCTTGAACCATCCGGTTCCCATTGAAGTCCATTATATGGAGAAAAATCCTGGAATGTTTTCATCAAAAACCTAAATTTCTTTTCGACTGAGGAAAGAAAGACATGGACATCTTGGATGACATGGGGGTGAGTAAATTATCAGCAAAAGTTTTTTCAAAAGTGAACTAATCCTTTAATAATGTTTGTAAGAAACCAAACCGTTTGTAAATCCGTCAAGATTTCAACGAGATAAGAGACCACCTAGCCCGCCAGAAAGCCTGTCTGTGACAAGATGGCCGCCGGTGATGACGATAAATACTCCATCGTGAGACATCTAGCCTTTATATAGATATCTATGGTGCCATGTGCGTTGGATGTGGACAAAATGTCACCTGAAGGCACACCAACAGTGCACATTTTGGATATCTCCGTTATCTGACCCACATATTTCTGATTTTGGAGTCTCTACTATTTAGCCGATGAAATGATTTAGGTGTGATTGATTAGGAATAGTTGAAAAATGTGTAGTGTTGCTATGCCTCCAGGAACATTTTTGGGAAACATTGGTTGAGAGCATAAAAAAATAAATTGGATTTTTTTTTTTTGGTACATTTTTTTAAATATATATATTTTATTCATATGTTATGCAATATCCACTGTAATAGACCCCAGGACTCATGTAATGCAACATGTAATGAAAATAATGGAAGTAATAATTGGCAACATTTTCATAATATCTAATATAAAGAATAAAACTTTGTTTAATGTTGTTTTTGAGTTTTATTGAGTTAAGCACTTCAATGATGCACTTTTTTGAGCTTCAAATTGATGGTTGCAATCCACTGCCATTATGTAGCTCGGAACAACAGGGTGTTTATTAATATAACTCGATTGTGTTGAAAGAAGAAAGTCCTATACACATAGGATGGCTTGAGGGTGAGTAAATCATTGGGTGATTTTTCATTTTAAAGTGAAGTCCTGGTGTCCTCTACAGTGGACATGTATGAAATCAGTGCCCTGTTCATTAAAGACCAAACAGAAGTAAGTGTCATCAAACCCTGTGTCTATGAAAAGCCCTGAATGTGCTCTTTACAGGCATCCATTCTTAAAACCTAAACCTAAAAACTAAAATATAATGTCCACTACAGTGGACATAAATCGATTCCTTGGTTCCAGGAGGTTATCACTGAATGCATTTGTAGGCGTTGAGATTGAAATGTTTGTTCATAATTGTTTGTAGAGTAAATGTAGAATTTGTAGAGTAGTCCTTATAAAGAATAATATGCTAAATAATGTTCCACCAAACTTTAACAGCAAATTTATCTTTGAAACCATTGATCTATTCACTCACCATGGCATCACAGATTAAATTTCCCAAATTACATTCACGAAATCGACATTCCTCAAAAGTTCCATTGAGATAGACAAGAGTCTGTCCTACATACTGAGAAGAGTAATTGGCCAGATTCTTCCTCCAATTGTCCACTTCAGCCTGAATCTCTGGATCTAGACAAAGTCGGATCATACATATGAAAATGGCAATCCACAACAGTAATGCATCACATCTGATAGGTAGATTATAGCACAGGGGAGTCCAATCCTGCTCCTGGTCGGTCAACGTCCAACCCGCTCCAACACACCGCCTTGGGCTGCGTCCGAAAACTCAAATATGCTGCTTTCAGAGGTAGCTTTCCACTGTAGGGCATCAAGGCACGCATGAATGCAGTGTTCCTGAGAGACCTTATCTAATCGATTTTTGAAAGCAGCGTAGATGTTCCTTCATTACCTTCGATATCCCACAATCCTGTGCCGTTGTCATATAAAGATGCCGTCTGAAAGTTGGTGGTCAGTTTGAATGCAAATGTACGTTTTGGTTTTCCACTTTTGATTTTGAGAGTCATGCATATTGTTGTCCTATTGTTCGTTTAACTCTATTGTTCTCATTTGTAAGTCGCTTTGGATAAAAGTGTCTACTAAATTAATAAATGAAAATGAATGTAAATGTCTTCAGAGAAATTACTATTGAAGTAATTAAATATTTGCCTAGTTTCCACCAAAGCTCTCTATTTTGCTCATTAAACGGTTACACTGCCTCAGAAGTTTGTCTGAAATAATTTTCGTGAGGCGCAAACACCGCCTGCAAAGTCAATGCCTGATAGAGCAGCGAAGCAACAAGTCAGCTTCCTGAGGCCCTGTTTACACGAAAACACGAGAAAAATATTTTATCGGATGTGCCTTTTGTTTACACGGCGACGGCGTTTTTGGGGTTTAAAAAGGCAAAAAAGTGAAACCACCCTCCTGAGTGGAAATCTTAAAAACGCTCCACCGCCGCGTTCCCGTGTAAATGGCAAAAACGCAAAAGTTAGGATTAGGCTAGACAGTGAAGGTTGTACGCATGTGCGCTGACTTGGTGTTTTTGTGTGGCAGTGCTCTACATTGCCACCTAGCCACCTGGAGTGCATACTAAATCAAATTTCACACACTAATGCGTCACCACATGCACTCGGATTTCCCACCCAAAACGCTCGCCTGAATGCAGAATAAAAAGTGATAGGCTAACGCTACGCCACTTTCACGTTTTCTCTTCAGAATCGTTTCCATGTAAACATAGCCTGAGTGTTCGGAGGCAGCCTGTAATCCTGAAAACCTTGATTAGCTGGTTCAAGTGTGTTTAATTATAGGGTATTCTTGGTTGATTCAGGAGCAGGATCGGACATGCCTATTATAGACGTTTACTACAGCAGTTACCAAATCAGTCTTGGGGACCCACCGCTCTGCACTTTGTATGTCTCTCTTATCTGACACTCATGGAGCTCTTTAACAAACTGATGATCTGAATCATGTGTGTTTAATAAGGGAGAGCGGTGGGTTCCCATTTTCAGTGGTCCTGGTTCAGAAGTATATTTCTGGTTCATGTTCTCCAAAAGGATTTATAAAAATTCTTCAATCAAGAGTTTTAAGACTTGAACTAAACCAACCAGCTCCAAGACAAATCACAACATTACAAACTTGAAGCAAATCAGGAAAAATCCATAAAAACAAGATATTTCTTTCTAAGCACTGAAAATAAAATAAAAATCATCTGCAAAGCTTTGTGGGCTTTGAAGGCTGCTGCTCAACTCATTTGTTTGTCCTCCATGGTTGAATTTTTCCATTTCTGGAAGCCTAGTGTCCTATCCCAGATAGCAAACTGACATTGAATCAACGTGGAAATATGACATAGAAACAACGTTGATCTGACATTGTTTTGCTCATCGAATTAACGTTGAACCAACGTCAGACGCGTCATTCTTTCAAAACTAACGGAAAATCAACTTGAAATCAACGCGTTGTTTCAACGTTATGAAAGCAAACCAATTTTCGATTTTCATTTAGCTTTGAAGAATGCCGCGTCTGACGTTGGTTCAACGTTAATTCGATGAGCAAAATCAACGTTGTTTCAACGTCATGAGAGACGTCGTTTCCACGTTGATTCAATGTCAGTTTGCTGTCTGGGATATGCTCTATTGATTTACCATGTGCCTTAAATTCCCTGGCGTGTTTTAATGTTTAGAGCTTCCTTACCTGGAGTTACTGAGCTGTTCAGAAGAATTGGGTTGCCTGAATATTTCAACACATTTCCATTTGAATCAAAAGTCACTTTTAGGAATCCCAGATATTTTCCAAATGCATAGGCCTGGACCACAGGAACCTGACGCCCATCCTCAGAATCGACCATGAACGGGTATGGTCCTGCAGGAACCTCTGAGGATGGGGGATCTCCTACAGAGATGAGCACACAGAATGGAAATATGTAAATCAAATTCAGTATTGGTACTGTGCGCAAGGCATGTTAGATGGTTCACTAAAACATTTGTTTCAAGTTGGTTATTTATATCTTTTGCTAACTCGTTTGAGTTGCACTTGTTTAAGATTGTGATTGTGGCCAAAACTGGTACTGCAATCACTTTCAAATTAGGGTATATGCCTGCCTTCCCCCATGACTCAAGGTTGCCAGATATGCTGCATTATCCAGCAGGAACGTAGACTGCTACAGGAAGCTTCCAATTGCAAGTGACGAGTCCTACACAGTGAGTCTTTTTCTGTTAATTATTTATTTTAGACTTTGTAACAAAGTATTTCTGATTCATATCGAGTTTTTTTGGGTTTCGCAACATTCGATTTTTTTTTTTTATCCGATTCCGACACGTTTGTATCTGCAGCTTTGGTAACTATAGAAGAACTGGCAGAATGCCGCAACACTACTGACTCCGTGATTGGAGATCGGTGGAGGGTGACGCATCAGAACAAAACACAACATGACAACATCAACATCAGTCAAGGGCTGCGACTTTACTTTTTAAATGACAATATCCTGGCCGGACTACTTATATGGTTTGTTTTATGGTTAGTTACTTAATTTTGTATAATTTACTGTTATTATAAAGTACATGTAGCATGTTGGTTGTTGTAACAACCAATAAAGATGCTAACTAACGTTTTTATTGTTTATGTCCACCCATACTTTCAAGCAATATGGTTTATAGATTGAAATGTGAAGATTGTTTGTTAAATTACATGTTAACCACATGAAAAATTCTCACTAATAACAACAAAAGTCTCCACCTCCAAGTCTCAATATATTTTGCTGTGTAGATATGGCTTGAGTCCCAACTTTAATGTATGTCTGTTGGGATTTTTTTTTAACCTGGCGAAAGTCCGATCACTTAAAAATATAAAACAATAACACCATCTTCTCAGCAAATCACATGATTTGTGGCATCATCCATGTCCAAACGTGAACACCCAGGTCAGGTTTAATACCTACTGTATAATAATGATGTGGTTGATTCAGTATGAACAGTGATGCTTGCCTACACAACACAAAGACTGCAACAGGGCTGAGTAAAATGCTAATGAGCATTACTTGGCAGCCTGACCAGCTTCTGGAGTCAAAACTTTCCAGTCAGCATTGTTCTGGTTGGCTGTTAGGGTCAAAATAAAACCTAAAATGCATTTTCACCTTTAATCCATCCAGTGCCCATTGTGGTCACAAAGCTCACGTCTTTTGTCAATACACAGGTTGATCAAATTTAATGACCGAAATAGAGGCATATAGTTTTGTTTGATTTTGACTTTGTTTGTTGTGAGGTCAGCATGGCAAATTCTCCTGTGCATACACCATAACCACTTGTCATGCTATTTACATGAGAAAATGAGTTTTTACGTGCAAATGAGACGCAGTTCATTTGCGTGAAATACACACGTACCCCACACAACTAATTCTACCCTAACGCATAATACACACACACCCCACCCCACACCTAAACCTACCCTAACCAACCAATGCGTATCATATGCACGTAAAAACTCACTTTAGCGTATAAATTACACAACAATAGTGCTATAAAAACGCATTCACAGCAAAATCCCCAGTGTTAAATTAACACTGAGAGTGTTAAATTAACACAGAGAAGTGAGAATTATATAAATGAACACTGAAGCAGTGTTCTTCTTCTTTGTAGGATTCCGGCAGTGTAGACGCTGCTGAGCGTTTTACTGCCCTCCACGGGTCAAAATTTGTACTAAATTCTTACATACAATCCTGTCATGCAAGAATTGAAGAACTGCTTTGGAGATCAGTTTATGCTCGTCACTGTGTCCAAACAAAGATAAAACAGAAAAAGCCTTAACTCCATGTCCTGACAGTTTACTAAAGAGAACATTTCTTTCAACCCTATACTTTCTGCATTCCAGGAAAACATGCCCTACAGTCTCAAGACTCCCACATTCACACAAGCCAGAAACATGCTTCCCTACAATGTGCAAAGAATAATTCAACCCACAGTGCCCCAATCTCAATCTGCGGGACAAAAAGTTACACGAGCATCTTTTCCTAACTTCAGGTTGTATAGAAAAGTAATGTCTACCCCTAATTTCCTTTTCCCACCCTCTCTGCCATTCTTTTATTAATTAATTTTTTCTCTTAATTCCACTCTTCCTAATAATACATGGACATCTACTTCTCTTCCTAAGCTCTCCTTTGCAATATTATTCACTCGTTCATTCCCACTCACCCCAGCATGCCCAGGAACCCAGCAAAAACTGATGTTGCAAATAAACCTAGTACTAAAAACCACATTCAGGATGTCATTGACAATGTCAGGACGAGATTAAGATTTTCCTACTTTTAAATTATCTAGAGCACCTACAGAATCAGAGCAGATAATAACTTCTCTAGGTTTGACTTCCTCAATCCACCATAGAGCCCATAGAATTGCCATTAATTCAGCAGTGAGGACAGAGCTTCCATTAGAAATACGCCGACCAATTTCCAACCCTAACTGTTCCACATACACCCCATACACTAACTGGATCTCGAGATCCATCTGTAAAAATAATCATTGTGCTCTGACTAATTGAATTAAGATATTCCCCTATTTTTGGTGCCACTTCCCACTTATCTTTTTCCTGTAAAAAAACCCAACTCAATATTAATTTCAGGCAACATCCAATATGGTATTGGTAACCAGCTTGTGTGCTCTAAAATACCTCCTTGATCCATACTCATCTTCCCTGCCCACTGATTTACTATGACAAAAAAATGTATTATATCTATTAGCTCCAGCAACCTCTTGTAACAGACACCTTGCTGGGAAGGTATGATTATACACCCACTAAGTTTTACCCAGTACTGTAACCCTAATTTAATACGTCTTAACCATAAGGGCATTTCTCCCATTTAAATGAGTAGTGCAGGAACTGGGGAAGTTCTAACGGCCCCACAGCAAAGCCTCAAAGCCCTTGCCTGCACCCCATCTAACCTAGATAGAACAGTTTTGGAAGCAGATCCATACACCAAGCACCCATAATCTAGAGCAGATCTAATCATGGCCTGATAAATTAGCAGCATCGTCTCCCTATTAGCCCCCCACTCACACCCAGTCAAACTTCTCATTACATTCAAAACTTTCTGAAGCAGTGTTAAAGTTAATGAGATAATTAAGTGAATAATTGAGTGATGATTGAGCATCATTTAAGACACCGGATGTTAACAAGCAGAATCTCTGAAGGATTAAAACGGAAATTTTAAGTCACCATTATGGAGATCAGTGTTTGGTTTAGCTGGTCTCTTGACCCTTAAATAATTAACTTTAGATTTCATTTGGCTGTTCTATGTGACTCATAACAGCCAGATGAAAAAAGGCGATCTGATGGTGTTTGTTGTGTTTCAACACAATCATTAATTGACCTGAATCACTGAACTCATCAAGAGCATAAATTCTGAGTTAAATTTACCTTAAGGATTTTAGCAGCATGGTCATTTTAGGCCTTTTTGATGAAAAACGATAATAAAATACCCCAAAAATATTTTATATAGGCACACACAGACATCAATAATTAACACACTAATCTCAGCAATGGTGACAAACAGATCACCTCTGAATATAAGTTCATTATTTATTCATGCAGAAATGCATGATGGGAGCCATGAATGAGTTTTGATTGGTGGCACCAAGAATGCAATGAAACATGCTTTATAACTGTTACCATTGTTGAGATTCACAGGCTAATTATTGATGTCTGTGTGTCTTAACATTGCAGAGAAGTAAAACATTTTATAAGAAAAGCTTTTAAGAAATTATTTTGAATATTCTGTAGACGTTGAGAATATTGCGCTGTACAAGGTCACTGCTGTTATACTTAATAAAGTAAACCTTACTCAGAAATTAGAATCTATATGAATTCAGTGATTCAGGTCAAATGATTGTGAATTAATGATTATGTTAAAACACAACCATCACCATCAGATCACCTTTTCTATTTGTTTATCTGGCTGTTGTAATTCATGTACTGCAGCCAAACAAAATCTAAAGTTAATAATTTAAGGGTCAAGAGACCAGCTAAAGCAAACACTGATCTCCATAATGGTGACTTAAAATTTCCGGTTTTCTCCTTCAGAGATTCTGCTTGTTAACATCAGGTGTCTTCAATAATGCTCAATCATCACTCAATTATTCACTTAATTATCTCATTAACTTCAACACTGCTTCAGTGTTCATTTAACACTCTGCTCAGAGTTTATATAATTCACACTCTCAGTGTTAATTTAACACTGGGGATTTTGCTGTGTTTAGTGTGATCGGGTTGGTGTTGGATGCAGGATAAATGAGCAGGAATAAAGATCTGAGCGACTTTGACAAGGAACAAAACTGTTATGGCAAGGTGACTGAATCAGAGTATCTCCGAAATGACAAGGCTTGTAAGTTCTCCTGACCCAACTGGGGACTCTGCTGGGAAACCATGGGTCCGGACATTCACGTGGACCCTTCATGGCAGAGGTGTTCCCTGGTGCCAATCACAAAATATCTGTTGATTTCTTGAACGCAGTGGCCAATCAGAGATGTTTAAGTTAGCACTAGATGATACTGCGCTTGTGTACTCCGACCCATTCAAATGCTCTGATACCAAAAACCGATGTGTGCAGTACAGTCCCAGATAGCAAACTGACATTGAATCAACGTGGAAATATGACTTCGAAACAACGTTGATCTGACATTGTTTTGCTCATCAAATTAACGTTGAACCAACGTCAGACGCGTCATTCTTTCAAAACTAACGGAAAATCAACTTGAAATCAACGCGTTGTTTCAACTTTATGAAAGCAAAACAATTTTCGATTTCATTTAGCTTTGAAGAATGCCGCGTCTGATGTTGGTTCAACGTTAATTCGATGAGCAAAATCAACGTCGTTTCAATGTCATGAGAGACGTCGTTTCCACTTTGATTCAATGTCAGTTTGCTGTCTGGGGTGTTTGTGTCCAGAAAAAGAAACATCAGCAAACAGATATATGTAGATATCAGAAATTAAATATGTCTAGTCTATGTAATAAATGTATCTAATTTATATAAGATTAAGCATAAGTTCAGTATTTAGGCCTGTACACTTTATAGCCTGTCCTCACTGTGCGTAAGCTGATAACTGAAGCACTATGAAGTGGATTGAGCGCTCTAAATGTGTGCTGTAGATGAAATAAAATAATATAATAAGAACGGTAACAGAATCTCGTAAAATACATTTTTACAGGCACAATAATGAAAATGAACTGTTTGCTAAAGGAATTAAGACAACTAAAATGATTCATACTGTTTTGGTTCCTTTACCTAATATTTTCAATATATACACTCACCTAAAGGATTATTAGGAACACCTGTTCAATTTCTCATCAATGCAATTATCTAATCAACCAATCACATGGCAGTTGCTTCAATGCATTTAGGGGTGTGGTCCTGGTCAAGACAATCTCCTGAACTCCAAACTGAATGTCAGAATGGGAAAGAAAGGGGATTTAAGCAATTTTGAGCGTGGCATGGTTGTTGGTGTCTGAGTATTTCACAATCTGCTCAGTTACTGGGATTTTCACGTACAACCATTTCTAGGGTTTACAAAGAATGGTGTGAAAAGGGAAAAACATCCAGTATGCGGCAGTCCTGTGGGCCAAAATGCCTTGTTGATGCGAGAGGTCAGAGGAGAATGGGCCGACTGATTCAAGCTGATAGAAGAGCAACTTTGACTGAAATAACCACTCGTTACAACCGAGGTATGCAGCAAAGCATTTGTGAAGCCACAACACACACATCCTTGAGGCGGATGGGCTACAACAGCAAAAGACCCCACCGGGTACCACTCATCTCCACTACAAATAGGACAAAGAGGCCACAATTTGCAAGAGCTCACCAAAATTGGACAGTTGAGTGCAATTAAATGCACTTAGCGCAAGTAAATGATGAGAAAATTACATAAGTGTAAACTGACGTTCCTGGATGAGTAACAAATACACATATAACTCACGCACATTGCAGCAATTATATGATACATACCTGTGAATAAGAATGTATTGGTGTGTCCTCCAATCACAACATCCACTCCCCGAACTTTCTTGGCAATCTTTTTGTCCACTGCGAAGCCAGAATGTCCAAGGGCAATGATCTTATTAACTCCCAAAGCAGTGAGCTTGTCCACTTGAAGCTGTAAAGAAGTAACCTCATCCTCAAATTGGAGATGAGGGCCTGTAAAAAACACCATCAAATTACTGCAGGGTAACATAACCCGAATATCAACCTATCTACCCTAATCTGTTTAAATGTGCCACCAGGTGGATCAATTACTCTCAACTGAACCTGATCAACAGATATGGGCTTAGCGGAGGTAGAACGATAGCATCATTAAGATGCTAAACCTGGGGTTAGAAGAGGAGATTAAAGCTTTATTTGTCGGTGCCATCCCAGACAGCAAACGGACATTGAATCAACGTGGAAACGACGTCTCTCATGACATTGAAACAACGTTGATTTTGCTCATCGAATTAACGTTGAACCAACGTCAGACGCGGCATTCTTCAAAGCTAAATGAAAATCGAAAATTGGTTTGCTTTCATAACGTTGAAACAACGCGTTGATTTCAAGTTGATTTTCCGTTAGTTTTGAAAGAATGACGCGTCTGACGTTGGTTCAACGTTAATTCGATGAGCAAAACAATGTCAGATCAACGTTGTTTCCATGTCATATTTCCACGTTGATTCAATGTCAGTTTGCTATCTGGGATGGCTTTGGATGGAAGGGTGTATAAATGACAAGAGTTTGATTGAACAACAGAACATTATAGCCATTGCGTTCTGCAAAAACAGCTAGATTTTGTATGTGTCAGTGCATTTCTTGATGTGCATGATATAAGGGAATATAGCATCCTAGAGTAGCCTATTCGATGTGGTCATGTATTTTGAAAATAAGGGAGGAGCCTTTAAGATTCCCATTAACTCCCAGAAAATTCATGTAATATTAAATTCACATTATATAGAATTATTATTTATATTATTATAATTTTATGGTTTTACATATCAGGACATAATAAAAAAATCATCTGGTCGTTAGCAGGTCTTAAAATTAGGTAATTTAGGTAAGTTGCGAATACAAAGTTGACCTAATAAAAAAATAGGTCCACTTTGTTTTTGTTTGTCCAGAGGACATTGTTTCAGATTTCTGGATGTTTGTTCAGATGCAGCGTTGCAAACCTAAACAGTGTTAGCCCTGATGGAACGAAATATGGTTTAAATATACTGAAAATAAATGAAATTATATAATTGCATTAATAGATTGTGTTATTTATTACAATATACACAATACATAAGGAATTGACACTTTTCATTTATTGAAAAATATATTTACAATATATACTGTAATATGTAATTAGTTGAGTGTACTTAAATTTCTCAAGGATGTTTTAATCAAGGTTGTAAGTTGCTAATACAAAGACATTGGGACAGTAATAGACTTGTGCATTTATTTCTATTTATTAAACTGAAATTTAAAGCTGCAGTACGTAGTTTTTCATCTTTGTCGCCATCTCTGTTTGAAATCTGCAATTGCTTTTATTCGTGTAATTATCAACTTTTTATTTATTTATTTATTTATTTATTTTTTATTTAACAGTCAGACATACATACAAACAAACCAACATAGTGCCGTAGTGAGCAATCTTGTAAATGCATAATTCCAGCAGAGGCAAGAGTGATTTAAGTGCTTGATATAAGTGTGAATGTGAGCGGGTGTGAGTGTGGGTATGCGTAAACAAAGTAACCATTTTGTCATTACAATCACCATCCCACTCCCCACTACCATCATAGTGCCCATATTGTGTTGGTAGATTTTTATTTCAATCCTTGCTCCTATGTAACAATTGCCATTGTCAATCCTGCATAAAATAAAATATGATATAATAAGATAATATAATATATAAGATAATATAATATAAGATAGCCTTCCCCCACATCTCATCAGTCCCTATCTTTTCCTTTTCCTTTTTTTTTGTTTTTTGTGTGTGTTATGTGCAATGTCTAAGGTGCATTAAAATAGGGAGTACAGTGCGAGAGTCTCGCACTGTAATTATCAACTTTATGTGAGCTATACTTCAACACCCTCGACATGGCACAGCGCGGATGAACACAGTGTTTGAGGAGAGTTTGTCTGTCAGTTAGGTGTGGATACTGCCATTCAGATTCACAGGTTATTCTTTTTGGAAGTAAGAATTTTCACTGGAAAATGTGCAAATTTGCTTTACGTGAGTTGTACTTCAACATCCTTCAACAATTAGGGGGTTTCATAAGCCTTTAATTTCATACTCCTCTTTTTAACCTATTCATTCCCTTCCTGAACTCATAGTTACACTGCATTATTCAAGTCTGCCCGTAATCTTGCTTGCACACTGGGAAACTAAAGGACTAAAGAATAACATTCTGGCAGCTCCCTGATAGGAAATACTTTTACTTGTACTCTTGTACCACAAAACCATATTTTTATAATGACACATAATATAGTAATGTCTTCTGTGAAGCTGCTTTGAAATGCTGTGTACTGAACATTTTTTTTATACAAATAAACCTGACTTAAATGACTTCTAAATTCAGTTCCTGTAGCAACCAAATTACGTGAAGAAAATATATTTCCATAAATTTATGGTCAATATTGTTTAATGCAATGAAATATATACAGAATAATACATTGTGTTAATATATTAGAATCTATCAGTCCCTCCAGGATTTCAAGATTTTTTTTTGTGATTTTTGCGATCAAAATGACTGATTTTGTGGTGGTAATTTCCAAAAATTTGTGAAAAAATTTGCGATTTACATATAACATTTACCATAATAGTATTCAGTCCTTCCAGAAAAACGCGGAGTTTTTTTGTGATTGTTGCGGGCAAAAATCCTTGATTACGTGGCCCGTTTTCTTTAAAAATGCGATGGAAAGAATATGCGGGATATTTATGCAATTTTATGGGATGAAATTGCAGGAATTTGCAAAAATTGAGGGAACTTGCAAAAATTGCGGTTTGATGAAAAAGAGAAAAAAAGTGATTCCCCCAACATCCTGTTCTCACTAGGCTAATGTAAGAGTAATTTCTTATTACTTCCTTTGATAAGCAAGCATACATCATCATAGAAAGTGCTGGGAATATTTAATTTCTCATCTTGTTTTATTTCAGACTGTAACGAGTGTAAATAAGGTGTGGCCCCTTTAAGAGCTGCGCGCTCCCTGTTGAACTCTCTGCAGTGTTATATGTGCGCCTCAAACACCCCATGTGTGCGGGTAATTTCTGTGTGATGCTACTTCTTTTATATTGTTGTTTATTAAGTAACGATGTGACGGTAGAACGTGTGACAGACAGTTATACGAGTTCGATTTGTGAGATGTCAATCCCCTCCGTGAGTCTGTCTGGCGTCGCGTAATTGCGTCACTTCATAACGTCCCCATGGAAACAGGGGGAAATGGCTGCTCTTGTGTGAAGCAAACGCACATTTTTCAACTTTCTGCTAAGATACATGTGACTTTTTTTGCAACGAAAATGCGAGGATTATGAAATTATGCAAACTCCACATATTTTGCACGGAAATCGGCAATTTATGCGGCGTATTTGAAAAAATGCGGCCCCCGCATAAATATGCGGACTTTGGCTGATTTTGCATGGAATTCAGCGATCGCATAATCGCGTTTTTCTGGAGGGACTGATCTATTGAATAATACATACAGAATTACAGCTTTTAATATATTGAAAAATGCGATATACAGAATGTTATTGTGATATGCATTCATGTGAGTTACTTTCACACAATTGAGTTATGGTTCTGCTACAAGTTTACGAGGGAAGTTGTGCTGGTGTTACTTAAGGGTGCATGTTGAAAACATATAGTCTAATTAGTCAAAAACAAATTAAATAAATTCAAAATACTCAAATAATTAATGTAATATTTGTATCAGAATTGTAAGTTAAACCAAGGCAGTGTGTGGAAACTGATAGCCTTAAATATCTCAAGCATGTTTTACACAAAGTTTAAGTTACAAAGACATATAATAGTAGGGTAGGAAGGGGGGGTTCACCTGCACCCGAAAGATATATTTTTTTAACCTAGTTTTTTGTAATCCTTAAGGTGTCTAGAAAATGAATTTTGATGTTCCCCGCGCAAATTTTTGTCCCATATGTGATTTTTTGTATCATCTTTTGTGTCCGTGCTTGATTTTTGGCTGCGGAAAATGAAAACTTTAAACCTACATAGAATCTGAACAATACATCCTACAGACACAATTTACCCCATTTTCTCTTCGTCTTTGCATGAGGAATTGATAGATATGAGGATTGTCTTGATTAGATGATGTAAAGTGCATAAAAACTCAAATAAACACCAAAAAATGTCAAAAAATGGTGACATTGGATCACTGGAACTCCTCCCCTATGGACCCTTCTGATATATGTTTTCTAACTTTTGTATTTTTACAGTCTTTAGGATGTCTAAGAAGCAAATGTTGATGATCCCCAACTGAAATATTGTCACATGTATGTATTTTCTGGCTATATTGGTTGCCACCCTGGATATCCAAAAAAGCACATTTATAGGCAGTCTGTTTTTCTCCTTTAGTTTTCGATTTGATAAATCTCCTCCATTTTTCATAACTGGCTATGTAAATTATTGTTGAGCACATGTTGAGCTTGTTCCCAATGTTCACTTGTTGCACATTAAAAATATAACATAGATATTTTAATTAAATAATACATTTTAAGATACAACGTGTTCAAAAATATACATTAATTAAAAATCACATCATGTAATTAGGATTCACTGGTAATGTGAGGTTTATTTAACATACATTTTTAAACTAACTACACAAATACATAGCCTACACCATGCACCAACACACAATTAGAAAGGTCTTTCTTGGTGAAGAGCATTTAGCGTTATGGAAGCCCACATTAACTGGCAGATAATGGTCTCTCCAGGTTTCTGTTAAGTTGAAAAAAAAATGTTATGCTTAATAATTAATTAATTATACTTTCATTATTATTATTATTACTACTGGTGAGGGAATGTGTTTCATCTCGAGTGGGACAATCTGAACAAAATAACAACAAACATTCATGGCTCAAGTGTGGTGAACTGGACCGGTGGGATCATGATACAGGAGGTGAAACCTGAATTTGATGCCCCCAACTCTCTGGAAATTCCACGAATGCTCCCACTCTACGAGTGGAAAAAGACGCGCTCCCTTATGGTAGATA